AATCCAGACTTTTAAACAAAGCTCTTAAAATCATTAATGACTCTTCTGGCCACCCTGGGAAAGCCATGTTCCAGCTTCTTCCCTCTGGCAGAAGATATCGGTCACTGAGATGCAAGACATCTCGCTATGCTAACAGCTTCTTCCCACAGGCTGTTAGGTGCCTAAACAGAGCATTTTAATTTCTGCTTTTACCTGCTTTTAAACTGCTTTTACCCCTTGTATTGTTTTGTTGATCGGTGCCACAGTGTCAGCTGTTTTTTTTATTGTTTTATGTTCAGTGTATGTGTGTTTTGTATTGCATTGTGTCGTGTTTTTGTTCTGTCGGTGCACACGGAGTGCCTTTCTTGCGAACGTATTCCAATGTGGTTTTTTAACTGCACATGGCCAAATAAATGAATCTTGAATCTTGAAGGGTCGCCAAACAGGAGGCACATGCCAGACCTATTGTACATATTTTTAGTGGTAGCGGAAACCAGAGTACCCGGAGAAAACCTACGCAGACACGGGGAGAACATGCAAACTCCACTCAGAAAGGCCCTGGTCCGACCGAGATTCGAACCCAGGACCTTCTTGCTGAGAGGCGAGAGTGCACCGTGAAATATCAGACCTTGGTCTTTTTGCTCGTTTAATAAGCCGTTATTATCAGGAGAACATTTTGAAATTACATTCAAATCCATGGAGCATTCTACTGCTGTGAGGAGCTGTATAATGAGCTATGAATAAATATTTGAATATTTCATTCAGACAAACTTCAAATATTATTTTTGTGCAAAAGTCAAAGCTCTAGTGTGTGTGTCTATGATCCTCTGACCTCTGACACAGACCTGTCTATGATCCTGTGACCTCTGACACAGACCTGTCTATGATCCTGTGACCTCTGACACAGACCTGTCTATGATCCTCTGACCTCTGACACAGACCTGTCTATGATCCTGTGACCTCTGACACAGACCTGTCTATGATCCTCTGACCTCTGACACAGACCTGTCTATGATCCTGTGACCTCTGACACAGACCTAGACCTGTCTATGATCCTCTGACCTCTGACACAGACCTGTCTATGATCCTGTGACCTCTGACACAGACCTGTCTATGATCCTGTGACCTCTGACACAGACCTGTCTATGATCCTGTGACCTCTGACACAGACCTAGACCTGTCTATGATCCTCTGACCTCTGTCACAGACCTGTCTATGATCCTCTGACCTCTGTCACAGACCTGTCTATGATCCTCTGACCTCTGTCACAGACCTGTCTATGATCCTCTGACCTCTGTCACAGACCTGTCTATGATCCTGTGACCTCTGACACAGACCTGTCTATGATCCTGTGACCTCTGACACAGACCTAGACCTGTCTATGATCCTCTGACCTCTGACACAGACCTGTCTATGATCCTGTGACCTCTGACACAGACCTGTCTATGATCCTCTGACACAGACCTGTCTATGATCCTGTGACCTCTGACACAGACCTAGACCTGTCTATGATCCTCTGACCTCTGACACAGACCTGTCTATGATCCTCTGACCTCTGACAGAGACCTGTCTATGATCCTCTGACCTCTGACAGAGACCTGTCTATGATCCTCTGACCTCTGACAGAGACCTGTCTATGATCCTGTGACCTCTGACACAGACCTGTCTATGATCCTGTGACCTCTGACACAGACCTGTCTATGATCCTCTGACCTCTGACACAGACCTGTCTATGATCCTGTGACCTCTGACACAGACCTAGACCTGTCTATGATCCTGTGACCTCTGACACAGACCTGTCTATGATCCTCTGACCTCTGACACAGACCTGTCTATGATCCTGTGACCTCTGACACAGACCTGTCTATGATCCTCTGACCTCTGACACAGACCTGTCTATGATCCTGTGACCTCTGACACAGACCTGTCTATGATCCTCTGACCTCTGACACAGACCTGTCTATGATCCTGTGACCTCTGACACAGACCTGTCTATGATCCTCTGACCTCTGACACAGACCTGTCTATGATCCTGTGACCTCTGACACAGACCTAGACCTGTCTATGATCCTCTGACCTCTGTCACAGACCTGTCTATGATCCTCTGACCTCTGACACAGACCTGTCTATGATCCTCTGACCTCTGTCACAGACCTGTCTATGATCCTCTGACCTCTGACACAGACCTGTCTATGATCCTGTGACCTCTGACACAGACCTGTCTATGATCCTCTGACCTCTGACACAGACCTGTCTATGATCCTGTGACCTCTGACACAGACCTGTCTATGATCCTGTGACCTCTGACACAGACCTGTCTATGATCCTGTGACCTCTGACACAGACCTGTCTATGATCCTGTGACCTCTGACACAGACCTGTCTATGATCCTGTGACCTCTGACACAGACCTGTCTATGATCCTCTGACCTCTGACACAGACCTGTCTATGATCCTGTGACCTCTGACACAGACCTGTCTATGATCCTGTGACCTCTGACACAGACCTGTCAATGATCCTGTGACCTCTGACACAGACCTGTCTATGATCCTGTGACCTCTGACACAGACCTGTCTATGATCCTGTGACCTCTGACACAGACCTGTCTATGATGCTGTGACCTCTGACACAGACCTGTCTATGATCCTCTGACCTCTGACACAGACCTGTCTATGATCCTCTGACCTCTGACACAGACCTGTCTATGATCCTGTGACCTCTGACACAGACCTAGACCTGTCTATGATCCTCTGACCTCTGACACAGACCTGTCTATGATCCTGTGACCTCTGACACAGACCTGTCTATGATCCTGTGACCTCTGACACAGACCTGTCTATGATCCTGTGACCTCTGACACAGACCTAGACCTGTCTATGATCCTCTGACCTCTGTCACAGACCTGTCTATGATCCTCTGACCTCTGTCACAGACCTGTCTATGATCCTGTGACCTCTGACACAGACCTGTCTATGATCCTCTGACACAGACCTGTCTATGATCCTGTGACCTCTGACACAGACCTAGACCTGTCTATGATCCTCTGACCTCTGACACAGACCTGTCTATGATCCTGTGACCTCTGACACAGACCTGTCTATGATCCTCTGACCTCTGTCACAGACCTGTCTATGATCCTCTGACCTCTGTCACAGACCTGTCTATGATCCTGTAACCTCTGACACAGACCTGTCTATGATCCTGTGACCTCTGACACAGACCTGTCTATGATCCTCTGACCTCTGTCACAGACCTGTCTATGATCCTCTGACCTCTGACACAGACCTGTCTATGATCCTGTAACCTCTGACACAGACCTGTCTATGATCCTGTGACCTCTGACACAGACCTGTCTATGATCCTCTGACCTCTGACAGAGACCTGTCTATGATCCTGTGACCTCTGACACAGACCTGTCTATGATCCTCTAACACAGACCTGTCTATGATCCTGTGACCTCTGACACAGACCTAGACCTGTCTATGATCCTCTGACCTCTGACACAGACCTGTCTATGATCCTGTGACCTCTGACACAGACCTGTCTATGATCCTCTGACACAGACCTGTCTATGATCCTGTGACCTCTGACACAGACCTGTCTATGATCCTGTGACCTCTGACACAGACCTAGACCTGTCTATGATCCTGTGACCTCTGACACAGACCTGTCTATGATCCTGTGACCTCTGACACAGACCTGTCTATGATCCTCTGACCTCTGACAGAGACCTGTCTATGATCCTCTGACCTCTGACAGAGACCTGTCTATGATCCTCTGACCTCTGACAGAGACCTGTCTATGATCCTGTGACCTCTGACACAGACCTGTCTATGATCCTCTGACCTCTGACACAGACCTGTCTATGATCCTGTGACCTCTGACACAGACCTAGACCTGTCTATGATCCTCTGACCTCTGACACAGACCTGTCTATGATCCTGTGACCTCTGACACAGACCTAGACCTGTCTATGATCCTCTGACCTCTGACACAGACCTGTCTATGATTCTGTGACCTCTGACACAGACCTGTCTATGATCTTGTGACCTCTGACACAGACCTGTCTATGATCCTGTGACCTCTGACACAGACCTGTCTATGATCCTGTGACCTCTGACACAGACCTAGACCTGTCTATGATCCTCTGACCTCTGTCACAGACCTGTCTATGATCCTCTGACCTCTGTCACAGACCTGTCTATGATCCTCTGACCTCTGTCACAGACCTGTCTATGATCCTGTGACCTCTGACACAGACCTGTCTATGATCCTCACACAGACCTGTCTATGATCCTCTGACCTCTGACACAGACCTGTCTATGATCCTCTGACCTCTGACAGAGACCTGTCTATGATCCTCTGACCTCTGACAGAGACCTGTCTATGATCCTCTGACCTCTGACACAGACCTGTCTATGATCCTCTGACCTCTGACACAGACCTGTCTATGATCCTGTGACCTCTGACAGAGACCTGTCTATGATCCTGTGACCTCTGACAGAGACCTGTCTATGATTCTGTGACCTCTGACACAGACCTGTCTATGATCCTCTGACACAGACCTGTCTATGATCCTGTGACCTCTGACAGAGACCTGTCTATGATTCTGTGACCTCTGACAGAGACCTGTCTATGATCCTGTGACCTCGGCGGGCGGCACGGTGGCTGAGTGGATAGCACTCTTGCCTCTCAGCACTCTTGCCTCTCAGCAAGAAGGTCCTGGGTTCGAATCCCGGTTGGACCAGGGCCTTTCTGAGTGGAGTTTGCATGTTCTCCCCGTGTCTGCGTAGGTTTCCTCCGGGTGCTCCGGTTTCCCCTACCACTAAAAATATGTACAATAGGTCTGGCATGTGCCTCCTGTACTGGCACCCCTGCTCCCAAAAAAATAACAATTGTAAACCGCTTTGAGACTCCGATGTGCAGTGAAAAGGCGGTATATAAATAAAGATTACTTACTAAAGATTACTAATTACTTACCTCTGACACAGACCTGTCTATGATTCTGTGACCTCTGACAGAGACCTGTCTATGATCCTGTGTGACCCTTTCGCCTGCAACACTCTGGTTCTGAGTCTCATCAAGAACATCCAGGAGCTGCTGAGTCAGGACGCCCTGCCCAGGGTAACTATACTCTACTACTCTATTACTGAGTCAGGACACCCTTCCCAGGGTAACTATACTCTACTACTCTATTACTGAGTCAGGACGCCCTGCCCAGGGTAACTATACTCTACTACTCTATTACTGAGTCAGGACGCCCTGCCCAGGGTAACTATACTCTAATACTCTATTACTGAGTCAGGACGCCCTGCCCAGGGTAACTATACTCTACTACTCTATTACTGAGTCAGGACGCCCTGCCCAGGGTAACTATATATTTAATTAGGGTTCATATATTTAATAAGTATTAAAAATATATATATTTAAACGAATATAAGACAGCCCTTAATATTCGAAGCGGTAACTGCCCTTATCTTTTTAAAAAGATGAACGTTAGTTTTCAATTTAGATTTTGCGGCTTTTTCCCGACCGTTGCAGTACTCTAATACTCATTAACAGGTACTATCATAGTGAAGGTACTCATTAACAGGTACTATCATAGTGAAGGTACTCATTAACAGGTACTATCATAGTGAAGGTACTCATTAACAGGTACTATCATAGTGAAGGTACTCATTAACAGGTACTATCATAGTGAAGGTACTCATTAACAGGTACTATCATAGTGAAGGTACTCATTAACAGGTACTATCATAGTGAAGGTACTCATTAACAGGTACTATCATAGTGAAGGTACTCATTAACAGGTACTATCATAGTGAAGGTACTCATTAACAGGTACTATCATAGTGAAGGTACTCATTAACAGGTACTATCATAGTGAAGGTACTCATTAACAGGTACTATCATAGTGAAGGTACTCATTAACAGGTACTATCATAGTGATGGTAAAAGACCTTCTTGCTGTGAGGTGATAAGTGCCTGCCCTGATAGTTCAGTTCACACGCTCCACACCCGGGACAGTTCCACAGACGTTATGATTTATGGTCCCAGCTGTAAGAACTGATGGTATCAGCGCTCTGACCTCTGACTCTGCTCTTCCTCAGGACAGCTCTGATCTCTGACCCTGCTCTTCCTCAGGACAGCTCTGACCTCTGACCCTGCTCTTCCTCTTCCTCAGGACAGCTCTGACCTGATGCTTCTGTTGAGGATGTTGTCTTTGGGTCAAGGAGCGTGGGATATGATTGACAGCCAAGTCTTCAAAGAACCTCGTCTGGTCAGTTACACTTATGTTTGGGTTAGTCCTATTTGACCCCTAACCCCAACCCCTGACCCTGTGGATCACAGAGTTCTTATAGTTAATGTGTGATTTAAAACTTTGGTTCTTCATCTTTAAATGCTTGATATTAGCATTGTCGCTGTGTGCTGTACCTGTGTGCTGTACCTGTGTGCTTCAGTCTCATGTTTACTCAATTTCTGGGTTTAGGGTCAAATTGTAGATTTAACTTGTGTTAAACAAACTGTTGTGTCTACCTGACGTGTGTGTCTACCTGACGTGTGTGTGTGTCAGGACCTGGAGGTTGTGACCCGCTTCCTTCCCTCCATGATGTCCGTTGTTGTGGACGACCACATTCATGTTGTTGAACAGAAGCTTCCGAGTGAAGAGAAGAGCTCCCTGAGCTACCCCTCTGCTCTGCCTGAGGGCTACACCAGGTATGACCTCTGACCCTACACCAGGTATGACCTCTGACACCTGACCCTACACCAGGTATGACCTCTGACACCTAACCCTACACCAGGTATGACCTCTGACACCTAACCCTACACGAGGTATGACCTCTGACACCTAACCCTACACCAGGTTTGACCTGACCCTAGACCAGGTATGACCTCTGACCCCTGACCCTAGACCAGGTATGACCTCTGACACCTAACCCTACACCAGGTATGACCTCTGACACCTAACCCTACACCAGGTATGACCTGACCCTAGACCAGGTATGACCTGACCCTACACCAGGTATGACCTCTGACACCTAACCCTACACCAGGTATGACCTGACCCTAGACCAGGTATGACCTCTTACCCCTGACCCTAGACCAGGGTGTCACGCAGAGGGTGTCACGCAGAGGGTGTCACGCAGAGGGTGTCACGCAGAGGGTGTCACTCAGAGGGTGTCACTCAGAGGGTGTCACTCAGAGGGTGTCACGCAGAGGGTGTCACGCAGAGGGTGTCACGCAGAGGGTGTCACGCAGAGGGTGTCACGCAGAGGGTGTCACGCAGAGGGTGTCACGCGGAGGGTGTCACGCGGAGGGTGTCACGCGGAGGGTGTCACGCGGAGGGTGTCACGCGGAGGGTGTCACGCGGAGGGTGTCACGCGGAGGGTGTCACTCGGAGGGTGTCACGCAGAGGGTGTCACGCAGAGGGTGTCACGCAGAGGGTGTCACGCAGAGGGTGTCACGCAGAGGGTGTCCACATTTCTCCTCATCACAGAGACACACTTCCTGATCAGCCTGTCGAGCCGGTTACTGTCTCTGAGGTTAGGTTAGGGTCAGGAGCTGTACTTAAAGCTGTGTCTGTGGTCAGGAGCTGTAGTTAAAGCTGTGTCTGTGGTCAGGAGCTGTAGTTAAAGCTGTGTGTGTGGTCAGGAGCTGTAGTTAAAGCTGTGTCTGTGGTCAGGAGCTGTACTTAAAGCTGTGTCTGTGGTCAGGAGCTGTACTTAAAGCTGTGTCTGTGGTCAGGAGCTGTACTTAAAGCTGTCTGTGTGGTCAGGAGCTGTAGTTAAAGCTGTCTGTGTGGTCAGGAGCTGTAGTTAAAGCTGTGTCTGTGGTCAGGAGCTGTACTTAAAGCTGTCTGTGTGGTCAGGAGCTGTAGTTAAAGCTGTGTCTGTGGTCAGGAGCTGTAGTTAAAGCTGTGTCTGTGGTCAGGAGCTGTACTTAAAGCTGTGTCTGTGGTCAGGAGCTGTACTTAAAGCTGTGTCTGTGGTCAGGAGCTGTACTTAAAGCTGTCTGTGTGGTCAGGAGCTGTAGTTAAAGCTGTGTCTGTGGTCAGGAGCTGTAGTTAAAGCTGTCTGTGTGGTCAGGAGCTGTAGTTAAAGCTGTGTCTGTGGTCAGGAGCTGTACTTAAAGCTGTGTCTGTGGTCAGGAGCTGTAGTTAAAGCTGTCTGTGTGGTCAGGAGCTGTAGTTAAAGCTGTGTCTGTGGTCAGGAGCTGTACTTAAAGCTGTGTCTGTGGTCAGGAGCTGTACTTAAAGCTGTGTCTGTGGTCAGGAGCTGTACTTAAAGCTGTCTGTGTGGTCAGGAGCTGTAGTTAAAGCTGTCTGTGTGGTCAGGAGCTGTACTTAAAGCTGTCTGTGTGGTCAGGAGCTGTAGTTAAAGCTGTCTGTGTGGTCAGGAGCTGTAGTTAAAGCTGTGTCTGTGGTCAGGAGCTGTAGTTAAAGCTGTCTGTGTGGTCAGGAGCTGTAGTTAAAGCTGTGTCTGTGGTCAGGAGCTGTACTTAAAGCTGTCTGTGTGGTCAGGAGCTGTAGTTAAAGCTGTGTCTGTGGTCAGGAGCTGTAGTTAAAGCTGTGTCTGTGGTCAGGAGCTGTACTTAAAGCTGTGTCTGTGGTCAGGAGCTGTACTTAAAGCTGTGTCTGTGGTCAGGAGCTGTAGTTAAAGCTGTGTCTGTGGTCAGGAGCTGTACTTAAAGCTGTGTCTGTGGTCAGGAGCTGTACTTAAAGCTGTGTCTGTGGTCAGGAGCTGTAGTTAAAGCTGTCTGTGTGGTCAGGAGCTGTAGTTAAAGCTGTGTCTGTGGTCAGGAGCTGTACTTAAAGCTGTGTCTGTGGTCAGGAGCTGTACTTAAAGCTGTGTCTGTGGTCAGGAGCTGTAGTTAAAGCTGTGTCTGTGGTCAGGAGCTGTACTTAAAGCTGTCTGTGTGGTCAGGAGCTGTACTTAAAGCTGTGTCTGTGGTCAGGAGCTTTAGTTAAAGCTGTGTCTGTGGTCAGGAGCTGTAGTTAAAGCTGTGTCTGTGGTCAGGAGCTGTAGTTAAAGCTGTCTGTGTGGTCAGGAGCTGTAGTTAAAGCTGTCTGTGTGGTCAGGAGCTGTAGTTAAAGCTGTGTCTGTGGTCAGGAGCTGTACTTAAAGCTGTCTGTGTGGTCAGGAGCTGTACTTAAAGCTGTGTCTGTGGTCAGGAGCTGTACTTAAAGCTGTCTGTGTGGTCAGGAGCTGTAGTTAAAGCTGTGTCTGTGGTCAGGAGCTGTACTTAAAGCTGTGTCTGTGGTCAGGAGCTGTAGTTAAAGCTGTGTCTGTGGTCAGGAGCTGTAGTTAAAGCTGTGTCTGTGGTCAGGAGCTGTACTTAAAGCTGTGTCTGTGGTCAGGAGCTGTAGTTAAAGCTGTGTCTGTGGTCAGGAGCTGTAGTTAAAGCTGTGTCTGTGGTCAGGAGCTGTACTTAAAGCTGTGTCTGTGGTCAGGAGCTGTAGTTAAAGCTGTGTCTGTGGTCAGGAGCTGTACTTAAAGCTGTGTCTGTGGTCAGGAGCTGTAGTTAAAGCTGTGTCTGTGGTCAGGAGCTGTACTTAAAGCTGTGTCTGTGGTCAGGAGCTGTAGTTAAAGCTGTGTCTGTGGTCAGGAGCTGTAGTTAAAGCTGTGTCTGTGGTCAGGAGCTGTAGTTATAGCTGTGTCTGTGGTCAGGAGCTGTAGTTAAAGCTGTGTCTGTGGTCAGGAGCTGTACTTAAAGCTGTCTGTGTGGTCAGGAGCTGTAGTTAAAGCTGTGTCTGTGGTCAGGAGCTGTAGTTAAAGCTGTGTCTGTGGTCAGGAGCTGTACTTAAAGCTGTGTCTGTGGTCAGGAGCTGTAGTTAAAGCTGTGTCTGTGGTCAGGAGCTGTAGTTAAAGCTGTGTCTGTGGTCAGGAGCTGTAGTTAAAGCTGTGTCTGTGGTCAGGAGCTGTACTTAAAGCTGTCTGTGTGGTCAGGAGCTGTAGTTAAAGCTGTGTCTGTGGTCAGGAGCTGTAGTTAAAGCTGTGTCTGTGGTCAGGAGCTGTAGTTAAAGCTGTGTCTGTGGTCAGGAGCTGTACTTAAAGCTGTGTCTGTGGTCAGGAGCTGTAGTTAAAGCTGTGTCTGTGGTCAGGAGCTGTAGTTAAAGCTGTGTCTGTGGTCAGGAGCTGTACTTAAAGCTGTCTGTGTGGTCAGGAGCTGTACTTAAAGCTGTCTGTGTGGTCAGGAGCTGTAGTTAAAGCTGTGTCTGTGGTCAGGAGCTGTACTTAAAGCTGTGTCTGTGGTCAGGAGCTGTAGTTAAAGCTGTCTGTGTGGTCAGGAGCTGTACTTAAAGCTGTCTGTGTGGTCAGGAGCTGTAGTTAAAGCTGTCTGTGTGGTCAGGAGCTGTAGTTAAAGCTGTCTGTGTGGTCAGGAGCTGTAGTTAAAGCTGTGTCTGTGGTCAGGAGCTGTACTTAAAGCTGTCTGTGTGGTCAGGAGCTGTAGTTAAAGCTGTGTCTGTGGTCAGGAGCTGTAGTTAAAGCTGTGTCTGTGGTCAGGAGCTGTAGTTAAAGCTGTGTCTGTGGTCAGGAGCTGTAGTTAAAGCTGTGTCTGTGGTCAGGAGCTGTAGTTAAAGCTGTGTCTGTGGTCAGGAGCTGTACTTAAAGCTGTGTCTGTGGTCAGGAGCTGTACTTAAAGCTGTGTCTGTGGTCAGGAGCTGTACTTAAAGCTGTGTCTGTGGTCAGGAGCTGTACTTAAAGCTGTCTGTGTGGTCAGGAGCTGTAGTTAAAGCTGTGTCTGTGGTCAGGAGCTGTACTTAAAGCTGTGTCTGTGGTCAGGAGCTGTACTTAAAGCTGTGTCTGTGGTCAGGAGCTGTACTTAAAGCTGTGTCTGTGGTCAGGAGCTGTAGTTAAAGCTGTGTCTGTGGTCAGGAGCTGTAGTTAAAGCTGTGTCTGTGGTCAGGAGCTGTACTTAAAGCTGTGTCTGTGGTCAGGAGCTGTACTTAAAGCTGTGTCTGTGGTCAGGAGCTGTAGTTAAAGCTGTGTCTGTGGTCAGGAGCTGTACTTAAAGCTGTGTCTGTGGTCAGGAGCTGTACTTAAAGCTGTGTCTGTGGTCAGGAGCTGTAGTTAAAGCTGTGTCTGTGGTCAGGAGCTGTACTTAAAGCTGTGTCTGTGGTCAGGAGCTGTAGTTAAAGCTGTGTCTGTGGTCAGGAGCTGTAGTTAAAGCTGTGTCTGTGGTCAGGAGCTGTACTTAAAGCTGTGTCTGTGGTCAGGTTCCTGCAGGAGAACAGAGTGGCCTGTGAGATGGGGCTTTACTACGTTCTGCACATCGCTAAACTCCGGAACAAGAACGCTCTTCAGAGACTGCTGCCCTCTCTAGGTCAGTCTGACCTGACCCCCGACCCTTGACCCTTTCTAGGTCAGTCCATCTTCAAACACTCAAGACCCTAACCCAGCTGGGGATCACTCAGGATTAGGGTTAGACTCTGGGACATCCAACAGTTCAGCACCTCAGACCGAACTGAAAGGATTCTTTGGTCACAGAAACAAAGTGTCAAGGATCTTTATTATATACCATACCATACCACTCCATTCCATACCATTCCATACCACTCCATACCATACCACTCCATACCATACCATACCACTCCATACCATACCATACCACTCCGTACCATACCATACCATACCATACCACTCCGTACCATACCATACCATACCATACCACTCCGTACCACTCCATACCATACCACTCCATACCATACCATACCACTCCATACCACCATACCATACCATACCATACCATACCACTCCGTACCATACCATACCACTCCATACCATACCATACCACTCCGTACCATACCATACCATACCATACCACTCCGTACCATACCATACCACTCCGTACCACTCCATACCATACCATACCATACCACTCCGTACCATACCATACCACTCCGTACCACTCCATACCATACCATACCACTCCGTACCACTCCATACCATACCATACCATACCATACCATACCACTCCGTACCATACCATACCACTCCATACCATACCATACCACTCCGTACCATACCATACCATACCATACCACTCCGTACCATACCATACCATACCATACCACTCCGTACCACTCCATACCATACCACTCCATACCATACCATACCACTCCATACCATACCATACCATACCATACCATACCACTCCGTACCATACCATACCACTCCATACCATACCATACCACTCCGTACCATACCATACCATACCATACCACTCCGTACCATACCATACCACTCCGTACCACTCCATACCATACCATACCATACCACTCCGTACCATACCATACCACTCCGTACCACTCCATACCATACCATACCATACCACTCCATACCATACCATACCACTCCGTACCATACCATACCACTCCGTACCGTTCCATACCATACCATACCATACCACTCCATACCATACCATACCACTCCGTACCATACCATACCACTCCGTACCACTCCATACCATACCATACCATACCACTCCGTACCATACCACTCCGTACCATACCATACCATACCATACCACTCCGTACCATACCATACCACTCCATACCATACCATACCATACCACTCCGTACCATACCATACCACTCCGTACCATACCATACCACTCCGTACCATACCATACCACTCCGTACCATACCATACCACTCCGTACCATACCATACCACTCCGTACCACTCCATACCATACCATACCACTCCATACCATACCATACCACTCCGTACCATACCATACCACTCCGTACCACTCCATACCATACCACTCCGTACCATACCACTCCGTACCATACCACTCCGTACCATACCATACCATACCACTCCGTACCACTCCATACCATACCATACCATACCACTCCGTACCATACCATACCACTCCGTACCATACCATACCACTCCGTACCACTCCATACCATACCACTCCGTACCACTCCATACCATACCATACCATACCACTCCATACCATACCATACCACTCCGTACCATACCATACCACTCCGTACCACTCCATACCATACCATACCATACCACTCCGTACCATACCACTCCGTACCATACCATACCACTCCGTACCACTCCATACCATACCACTCCGTACCACTCCATACCATACCATACCATACCACTCCGTACCATACCATACCACTCCGTACCATACCATACCACTCCGTACCACTCCATACCATACCACTCCGTACCATACCACTCCGTACCATACCATACCATACCATACCACTCCGTACCACTCCATACCATACCATACCATACCACTCCGTACCATACCATACCACTCCGTACCATACCATACCACTCCGTACCACTCCGTACCATACCACTCCGTACCACTCCATACCATACCATACCATACCACTCCGTACCATACCATACCACTCCGTACCATACCATACCACTCCGTACCATACCATACCACTCCGTACCATACCATACCACTCCGTACCATACCATACCACTCCGTACCACTCCATACCATACCATACCACTCCATACCATACCATACCACTCCGTACCATACCATACCACTCCGTACCACTCCATACGCGAGTTGGAGCACGCGTTTTGACGTCTCTGCTCTGTTCACCCTTTTAAGCCTTTTAAAGCCTTTTAAACACGTTTTTACGGTGTATTAGTGTCTTTTGTACACTCTAGTGTTTTATTATCTTAAATGCAATGGTTCCAGAGCATCACGTCTTTTAACACAAAGACCCAATCGAAACGCGCTAGCTCGGAGGCTACCACGAGCGCACCACAGACATGGAAAGTGACACTGCAATGACCACGAACGACATTAGTCGCCTCACATTGGAGCTTCGTGAGAGGGACCGTGCCACTATTGCAGACCTCCGTAAAGAAGTCCTTCGCCTCACTGCAGAGCTGCAGGATAAACAGTCACTCGTGTCCAAACTTTTTGATGTTGCTGGCGGGCAGCACTCACGGCTTATGTCACTGAGCGCTGCATACTGTGACACTGTCGTGTGGGAGAGGTCTGTCAGCTCTGGACCCTCCTGTTCTACACCTAAGTGCCCGGTTCGGAATAAAGAGCCTGCGGACTGCGAGGAGCCATCCAGCGCCGTGGCCCATGTCCTGAGCCTTTCAAACCGCTATGCAGCCCTCTCCGCTGACATCCCAGCCCCCTCAGCAGAACCCCTGGACTCTGCAGCGTACTCTACTGCTGTCCGTGGATCCAGGTCCACTGCGAGAAAGACACTCTTAAAGGAAGCTGTCCTCAGACGAAAGAGTGGTCATTCCCCTTCTCTGACCCCAGTGCATCACCACCACTTACCTTCACCGGGTCAGCAGCAGCGACCCGAGCCTGCTCCTCTCGCTGCTCCAGCGTCTCCGTGCACACAGCGTGGGTTGCCCGGAGCTGGGAATCAACACCCCCACTCCTCTCCATGTGTTCAGCAGCGCCCTGGTTCGGACCCATCCCTGGATGAGCCCGCTGGTTCTGGCCATGGACACCGAGCGCCTTCTCCGCGGCCGCGTCCACTTTTCGCCCCAACTACTTTGATCGTTGGAGATTCCATCGTGAGGCACGTCCGCTTTTTTAACGCGGTCACTCACTGCATTACCGGAGCTACAGTCCCAGACCTGCTCATCTGTCTCCCTCCTCTGCTTCAGTCCCTGCCCGATACCATATCCAAGGTAATCGTGCATGTGGGTATAAATGATATGAAGCTGCAGCAGTCAGAGGTCACAAAGAAGCACTTTATGAATCTGTTCCGCCTCCTCCAGTCCTCCGGGTTGTGTGTTTTTATCTCTGGTCCAGTCCCGACTGTAAACCGGGGTGACTGCCTCTACAGTCGCGTTGTGGCGCTCAACATGTGGCTCCAGTCTACATGCAGCACTTTTAACTTTATTTTTGTGAACAACTTTGGCCTGTTCTGGAAGCGTCACGTGGCCTATCGTCCAGATGGTCTGCACCCGAACAGATACGGCACCAGTTTGTTGACGGACTTCCTGCGCCATGTTGTTCAGTGCTCCCAGAGGGGGGCGTGACTGTTTACATCCGAGGCTTCTCGGCCCCCACTACCCCCCTCCTCCTCCTCCTTACCAGCACCGGGTGAGTACTGTGGTGCAAACACTGACCCCTGTCCGTCTGGCAGTGTAACGACAGTCCTGCCACTGAACTGTGCTGACTCAGTTATGCATCTGGAACTTAACAAAGTACAACAGAGTTCACTTTTTAAACCAATAGAGACTGTGTGTGTTCCTCGCACCAGCTCAGAAATGTGTTTTAACTTGAATAAACACAAATTTAAAAGAAGGACAGCAGTTAGACGGTCCAACTCAGGAAATCTAATTCGTTCTTTGTAATCAATCAACTAAACCCATTGACACTGATATTAATTTTAACCTTGCTCTACTTAATGTCAGATCACTATGCAACAAATCATTTTTAATTAATAATTTTATCTGTTCGTATGATCTTGATTTTATGTTTATGACTGAAACATGGCTTGACCATAATACAGGAGATGCAGTTTTAATAGAAGCCTCACCACCAAATTTCAAATTTGAACATGAAACACGAGAAAATAAAAGGGGGGGGGGCATAGCAGCAGTTTTTAAAGATCGTATTGTCTCCCATAGGGTGTCTCTTGGGAAATTTTCATCATTTGAGTATGTTTCTTTTAAAATAGAACAAAAGAAATCTTCTTCCATTCTTATTATTGTTGTGTACAAGCCGCCACAGTCATGCC